TTTTACGACCTTTCTTTACGACAATTGTTAAGTGAATCAGTGCAGTTGTTAAGTAAGTAACAAGGTTGTTTAATGAATCTGGCTTCCCCATTGACTTTGCTTGTCAGAAGGTCGCAAAAGGGGATGACATGACCCTGGGACTTTGCAACCATCCTAAAATATGAGTTCAGTTGCCAAGCAACTGAATGGAGAGGCTGCAACGGTCGTTAAGTATGAAAAACAGTCATAAGTCACTTGTTTCAGTGTCGTTGTGAACTCTGGATGGTCATTAAACTAATCGTTGTAAGTCGAGGACTACCTGTATTGTACAATGATCAACTGGATATACGGATATCCAAAATATATGCCTTTAAAGACAAACAGGTTGCTTCACGTTGGGTTGAAACATGATGGTATGGCCAACATCATAGATTACTTATGGCTGGAGGACTCAGGGAGAACATGCAACCTTAACACGGATTTGCAACTGACAGGCAAAAAGACCGTAAACAAACAAAACACACCGCTTGAGAAAGCCTCAGTTTCTTCCACTCCAATGGGTTTTGGCAGGTCCTTGGGGAAAACAAACTAATCTACTCAACCTGTTTTCTGCAGGGTAAAAACAAAATAGATATTCCCCATGTCTTTTACACCAGGGGTCTCCAACTTAGGCAACTTGAAGCCTGGCGAACTTCAACTCCCAGAATTCCCCAGCCAGCTTTGCTGTTTTACACATGACTTTTAGCAATCCTAAAATGATCCTAAGGCTCCCAGCCCAGGACTTCTGAAGGAGGAGCTCTGGAAGAGAGAGAGAGATGGTGCCATAGGACCGATCTCACCGAGATCCTCAGTGTCCCAAGTGCTGTTTCAACCTATTCCTGGCCCGGCCCTGTCTTACTTACATCCGCTTCTTCCAACCTGGGGCTGTCCAGATTTGCTGGGACTGCAATTCCCAGAATTCTCAGCCAATGAAGTTTCTAAGCATTTAGGGAGCTGCTGCCCTCACAACACACCTGAAGGAACCTGAATTTTGGGTGGGGGTGGGGGGCAGTTTTTATAGGAATCTGAATTTGTAAGAAAAATGAACTGAAAAATCCCACTTCGGTTCCCCTATCCCTCCCATGCTCCCATCCATGGTTGGTTTTTTTTTGTTTTTGTTTTTGTAAAAAAAAATGGCATTATACCCCCCACCCCATGCCTCCCCAACCCTTTTTTTCTTTCTTTTTCCCCATTTTCCCCCCCATACACGCATCAAATAGCATGCAGCAACACCTGTGCATTGATCTCATTAGAGTTAATACGTTTTTGTTTTTTTTAGAAGGCAAGGCACATTATGTGGTATAAAACGTATTTTTCTTTGTCTCGTGCAAATTAGGAAAAAAAAATGTTAAGATTTTTTTTTCTTTTCTTTTCTCTTACTTTCGGCCCTCATCATAGATGTGGACTCAAGGGAAAAAGAAGGGGAAGGGAGGGGGTGGGGTGGGGGTGGAGGAAAAGAGCCTTTATGTATAATTGCCATGCACATTCTCAGCCAGCTGATTGGTTGAGCTAGGTCACATGAATTCCTGTTTAAAAGCACCATGCATTTCTATATTGTAAGGGTTAATTCTTTCTTTTTCCTTAAAACGTCGCCTCTTCATCAATTGCAGATTTTTTTTAGTTTCACTTAAAAAAAATAAAATAAATCTGATCAACTTCCCATATGAAGCCCCTCCTTGTCTCCGTGTTATAGTCCCTTGCTTGGAGACATCTGAGGAGGTTGGGCTTTCTGGGATGGAGGGCCTGTAATGGATATTAATTTCTTCTGCCCAATTCCCACGGATGGGTTGAAACATGGCATCACCTATTATTATAAAGGTGCAGAGATGTAAACAAATGCCGCTGGAAACTCCCCCTTCCCATGGTGCCAGATTCAATGTGTGTGTGGGGGGTGTATCTCGGAAAGTCTTTTGCTGCCCTTCGTCCAAGGGAGCAGGTCAGAAGGAAATTTTGCATATTGTGAACGCAAGCCCCAGATGGGTACCAGGTAGCCTCTGGAGCCAAATTGCATGAAGGTTAAGATGCACAAAGGAGACAGGAGAGCACAGAGGTGGTAGCTTTTCGACTACAATGGAAGGTTCTGGAACAGAAGATCCACCTGAGAGAGGACTGTAGAGCCACAGGAGTCATTGGTTTCTGCCAAAATCCAGGGCAAATGCTGCAGTAAAAGAGCAAGGGGGTGTTATAGTTTCTTCTCTGTTTAAAAAAAAAATCAATTACATGTGTTCCTTTGGACATCATTGGAAAGATCTGGAACATCTTGAGCCTGTTGGGACGCATAAGGAAAAAAAAAAAACCCTACTTCTCCCATCCCAGAAAAATAAAATAAAAATAAAAACCACTCAATTCTAGAAGTGGATCTCCTTTGTACGTGGCAACAGGTTCACTTTGAAAGTTAGGAAACAAATTTATATTTGTATATTGAAGTATTTGTTCACATACATGGAATAGGATATGCATTCCTCTTCGAAGTTCGGAGAAATGTATCAAGGTGCAAAGAACTGAAGATTAGTGTTGGTTGTCCAAATTTTTGTTGTCTTTCCATCCTGGAGAAGATTGAAATGTCTTCTTCATATCTCATAGAATACAGTACAAAGGTAACTACAAGAAAAGATGTGAATACTCCCTCAGAGAATCCTGGGACATGTAGTATGAGGGTGAGGAGAATTCCATTAAAAATCCCTCATAGGATTGTAATTCCTGTGAATTCCCTGGGAAAAGGAACTGCCATTCAATCATTTAAGTCCGTTGGATAACCACTCCATTAGTGATATACACTAAGTTCCCATCGCTTTCTAAGTAGTAAAAGTTGGCATTGTCTTAGGCCAGAGGTGGAAAACTATGGCCCTTTTATGACTTGTGGACTTCAACTCCCAGAACTCTTGAGCTGGCTCAGGAATTCTGGGAGTTGAAGTCCAGAAGTCATAAAAGGGCCGTAGTTCTCCAATCCTGTCTTAGGCCAACATATGGCTAGGTTAGCTTTACAAATCCATTTGTCTGTGGTTGAAGCATTTCATTTGAAGATACTGATGTTCTCTTGGGTTTTCTGATGAACTATCCCTTGCAACTCATTGGTCTCATTCGGTCTTGACAGATGTCTGCTTTCCAATTCAAATCCACTCCAGGATGTTATCTGGGAATAGATTCCTCTGCCTCGATGAGATTCCTCTGAAATCTTGAGTTTGGCACAAGGAGGAGGAAATGTTACGAATGCTTTTAGAATCATGGCGGATGGCGCCAGCCCTTGGAGGAAGATTGTCCAGAAGCCAACATGGACTGACCAGTTCATCAGCTGTCCACCTGGCCCTCACGGAGGACTTGGAGCCCAACTCTGTCACCCCAATCTTGGCTGGGGGTGGTGGTTTCAAGGAAGTCTGATCCGTGGCTTCTAAAGCTTTGGTGTCTGCTAGGAAGAAGGGATAGGATGGGGGTGGGGTCGTCTTGAAGTGAAGTGGGCGGAGTGCCATTGCTCAGCCTGCCCCTGACCCATGGGGGGGGGGGAATCTCCACATTACGAATGCCGCTTTCCATAACTCAGCGAAAGGACTGGAGCATTAAAATGTAGGCACTTGAACCAGTCCTAGATGGCTTCTAGGCTCCACCTTGGGGCTTGCATGTCTGGTGGGGTAGGGGCAAGTAGAATGGAGTTCTCTATGAAGGGGCAATGATGGAAGGGGGCATCTCCCTCCTCTGCTCCTACCGAATCTATTTTTTATTTCCTTCCTCATGTCCTGAAAGGTTTCTGTGTAAGGCCCCACTTTGCACCATCCCGTCACAGTGGATTGGATAGTCACAATAATCCTCTCCACACAAATTACAGATACACTCTAGATTTACCTTCCTTATCCACCCTCCACCCTCCCGTTCCTTTTTTTCCTCTCCCCTCCTCTTCAAAAGTGCATTTCCTACAAAAAAAAATAATAAATGTGCAATCCGTATTAGCAGTCATCAAAATCATCTCGAAGCTGGTCTACAAGGGCATGCATAGCTCTTTGTACACAAGGTTGGAAGCTCAGGAGGGGGGAGGGGGAGAGAAAGCGAAGCCCTGCTGATCCACTGACCGCCGCGCCCCCCCCCAACTCAACCGTCTTCCTGTCCCCCAAGTCAGAGATTCAACAAGTCACACAGGTCCCTGCTGGTGTTCAATCAGACTGGCTGCCCGCCTTTTGAAGAAAGGATGTTAAAGCTGGGCGGAAGCCATCTTGAAGGGAACCTGTAGGCTGTGGGTGCCATGTCCTCACCCCCCACCTCCGAGAGCAATTCCTTCCCCATAAGAGAACAGGCTGAAAAAAGTCCATACAGGCTGAGAAGAAAGAGCCCATCTCTCAGCCTTGGTCCAACTTTAAGGCAAGGGTTAGACAGACCTATGGTCATGGCAGAGTTGCAGCAAGGGGAGTGCTGTTGAAACACAGTGTAATAGCAAATTCTTTCCTGACCCCACCTTTGAAGAAATGCCCACCCGCCCCGTCCCCCCTTTTCCCCCAGAGTTCATTCCAGCCCAATGAACGACACATGCGTGGTTTCAACATTCACAGCCAAGTTCCAATGTCTCCCCGCCCCCAGACAAAAAAAAAAAAAAAATCAAAACCCGCCACCATTCCAAACCATCTGGTTCAGGATTGCACTAAGTCATCAACAAAGTTAAATTTAAGTGGCTTGCATCTGTTCCCTTCTCCCACAATAACAGACTCTTTGTCAAACCAACCCCGCCTCCTTCCCCTTCCCCACCCCACACCATTGGCACTCAAACCCATTCAAAAAAAATAAAAATAAAAATGGGGGATGTCTTTTTGACACTAAAGCGCAAAGCATTCTGGGAGAGGAGTGCAGAAAACAAGCCACGTGTCCCCTTCTTCTCCACCAAAGAAGTCCTGGCTCACACCACGTCAGTAAGTGAGGGAGACCAGCAAGCCCCCATCTGAAAGCAACACATAGATTTCCGGGGGGTGGGGGTGGGGGTGGGGAGGAGGACAATTTCAATACACTGAAAAGGTGCCCAGCATTTTAATCTTTTCCCTCTCTCTTGAGGGGGGGGGAATTAGCTCACGTTGCATCTTGACCTTGGCCCGACTTTAGCTGCTTGACCAGTCTAGATGGCTTGTAGTGCAGTCTCTTGGTCGCGCTGACCCCATTACCAAAGGAGGAGAAGCAGGGAGGGTGTTGAGCGTAGAAAAAGAGAGAGAGGGGAGGGAGGGCTCTGCAGCAGGCCAGATTAAATTCCACCCCCCCCACTCAACAAGAGATGGAGAAAATAATCAGAAACTTTTGCATATACATCCCTTTTGAGTATGAGACAGACAGGATTTCCAGCTGGCCACCGACTGGCAGGGAGGATGGGGGAAAACCAGGCCCTCTGAAAGGCGTGTAGTGCTTCTGGCCAAAAAGCCTCCCCTGGGAGAGCTGCCTGCTTGAATTTTGCTCGTTTTCAGGAAAGTCGCAGTCGGCATGGCTGGAAAGCAGGGTCTATTTTTTCTTTATCTTTTAAAAAGAAGTTTGAGCTTTTCCCCTTCCCTTCCTTCCGTCCTTCTGTGATGTCTCTTCATGATGTTGATCTTAATCCGTGCTCTTTCTTTTCTTTTCTTTCTTTCTCTCTTTCTCTCTCTCTCCATGCTGCCCCCAAGGTTTGGGCCAGGGGTGGGAGGGCTGCACTGTTCTCCTCAAAGGAAGCCCAAAGCCCGGGGGAGGAAAGGAAGATGATGATGATGATGCAGATGGAAGCTGCAACTAGCCTAGGTACCAGGACTGGAAGAAGATTGAAAACGAATTACTAAAGTGGAAAGGGAACTTAGATCTCCACGTTTCCTCACCCGCCCACTTACCTAAGCATCTATTCACAGTGACATCTAAGTGGAATGGGCATTTTGACGCTAACTTCAACATTTAGCGAAAAGGGGTTCACCCGTATCATAGCAGCCACCTTCAGTAAGAAATGAAGACCATTTTCCTTGAGCGAGTCTCCCTGCTTAGATATTTATAACGAACTCCCTTCCCTCCATCTGGCTGCTATAGTGACTTATAAAGGGCACTATTTGTAGCTCAGGGTTGACATGAGGGGTTCTTGGTGCTCTCTGAGCCTGCTTGTTTTCTTACAGACATTTCATTACCCAAATTAGGTAACATCATGCTAATCACTGCTAAACCCTGATGATATTACCTAGTTTAGGTAATGAAACGCCTGCAAGAAAATAACTGAATTCAGAGAGCACCAAGGACTCCTCATAGTGCTTTCTTCTTTCTTTCTTTCTTTCTTTCTTTCTTTCTTTCTTTCTTTCTTTCTTTCTTTCTCTTTCTTTCTTTCCTTCTCTTCCTTCCTTCCTGTCCCACCTTGATTACTTCTATAAATAAAGGCAGTAAACACACATTATATTCCTTCCTCCTCCTATTTTTCTCACAACTACCACCTTTGGCTGAGAGAGAGTGACTGTCCCAAAGTCATACAGCCGAATTTCATGCCTAAGGCAGGACTAGAACTCACAGTTTCCCAGTTTCTAGCCTGGTGCCTTAATCACTAGACCAGACCATAAGCACACCCACAGGTTGGCTTTGATGTCCTTCCCCACACTTCGATTCCCAGAATTCTCCAGCCAACCATGAGTCTGGAATTCTGGGAGTTTAAGTCCGTACATCTTAAAGTTGCTGAGGCTGGTAAACATTGATATAGGCAGTGGCTCGTGGGGATATTTCCAGAACTGGTTAGTGGACCATTTTGCAACCAAGGAAAGGAGATTGTATGGATTTGCCCACTGCTCCAAATGCAGCAACCCATGAGGAAAAAAAACCTACATTCCCAGTAAATTTTAGGATGTTCCTTATGCCTAGGATTTTCCTGGATGTACTTTGTGGAGAACAGGTGTTGGGACAATATGGTCACTATACTTGCGAAGTATGATGAAGTCCAAAATTAAGGTTAAAATAAACAGAACTATTTCCAACTGCTTTTTTTTTGTTGTTACTGCTTTCGAAAATGAATCTGCCAAGTCTAGTTATAAATCAAAGTGAAGGAAATTTGGCCACTGGCTGGATGAAAAGGGAAAAATAAACAACTTAGTCCAGGATAAGAGCCAGATAGCAACCTTTGGAGTGTCCACAAAGAGGACACAAATAAAACTTCACTGCCCCCTCCCACCTCCTTCCGGGAATTTAGAGAGAGACTGCTCTGAGAATACAGAATTTATATACTCATTAGAAGTACCAAGTAGAGCCTGGACAAAGTTCAAACTTTGATGATTCCAGCCAGCCATGCTTTTTTCATAACGGATCTCCAGGTTGTCTCGTTTTTCCCAACTGTCAGCCAACAGAATTTGGATGCAAACTACCCCCTCATGGTTAGGATCTAAGACATTCATTCATTAAGTGGCCTTGCTTCCAAGAATCTGTCTGGTCCAAAGCCAACTGGATCTTCTGACCAACTTCCCATTTAGCTACAGTGAGTCCTCGCATCTAAATTGGATAGTAAAAACAATAGTAGGTCAGGACCCCAGGTCAAGATTTTGTCAATGGAAGACTTTTCTTACAATTCTGGCGTCAGATAATTCATAACTCTCAAAGACAGGATGTATTTCATTAAAAGAAAAAGGAAAGGAAAGGAAAGGAAGGCTTCTCAGGAACTAGCAGCCGATGAGTGAATCAGAGTGTACATACAAGTCAGGATTTTGTGAAGCAGCAAACGAGTATAGCGATATTTCAATGCTGAATTTTTAACACTGAATGAAATGGAGGTCAGGGCCCTGGACAAATTTGCCATCTGTTCTGGGGATTTTTTAATCTGGCTGCCAGTTCCAAAAAGTCCTCTATTTACTATCTCCTGAGCAGAAGTACGAGCAAAACTCTTCTCTGTCGGGATTGCAAGCGGCAAAAGGGTTCAGTCTCAATTTCCCGTCAAATACCTCTGCTTGGTAAACAACAAAACAGATGAATGCTTGTAACTTCCCCTCGGCCTTCCAACTCAGTGCTGCCAAAGCTCTAATTTGCTCCTCGGTTTTGCCGAGTGGGGCTTTATAATTTGTGGGATGACTTTGGAAGCAGGAAACTAGAGAGAGTGGAGGTCAACAGATCATGACCGCACAAAGAGGGAAACGGCCCACAAAAGCCACGCTAAGGATGTGCCCGTGAACCAGAGCAGCTTTAGGATGGCTTGAAGAGATCCAACAATAGAGGAGGGATGTTTGGCAAATGTGTGAGGAAGAGAAAGAAGAAATGAGGAAGGTTTGATGGCTCTGAGTCCTGCTTGAAATCAGTGATCATTTACAAGCTGTCCTGACAAACTTTTAAAAAAACTGAATGACAGAGTTGGAAGGGATCTTGGAGGTCTTCTAGTCCAACCCTCTATTCAGGCAGGAACCCCTATACCACTTTGGACAAATGGTTGTCCAAATTTCTCCTTAACTCTAGGTTGGTTCTTGATTAGTTTCCATCCATTCTTGTCCTGCCTTTGGAGAATAGGTTGACCCCTTCTCCTTTGTGGCAGCCCCTCAGATATTGCAACACTGATATCATGCCACCCCTAGTCCTTCTTTTCATTAAACTAGATATACCAAATTCCTACAACTGTTCTTCATATTCAGTAGACATTGGATATCAAAACCTGAAGCCCTGAAATTAAAGTGGGCATCTAAAAGCCATGAATGTAACCTTCAGAACATTTCCCAAAATTGCCAATATTGTAACTTTTAATGGGACCAGAAGAAACAGGCTTACTATATTTGAGCTGCCAAAATCCAGATCACCACAAAGTTGCAGGAAAGAGGTATTAGGTATCTCAGTGCTGCTATTAGTGGTTCTCCAGATTTTTGCAGGCCAAATATGTAACCCCCGTGGAAACAAAATCATTAGAATACATGTAATCAGGAATCTGGGAGTACCTTTTCCAATGGTTGCAGCATATGAAATCTTGGGCCTTTTAATAAAAGACCTAGAAGATTTTTCGTTGGAAAAAGTGCTCCCAAGAATCCTATTTTTTTTTCAGGGGTGGGGCGGGGGGTATGATATACTACCATGGTTCTTCCCCTATACAGTATAAAACACATAAGAAGACATCATAACGTTGATATCTTATTACCATTAAATTAAATTATAAAATATTGTTTATGTTTGACTTTGCCCTTCTGGATTCTCTGTTCTTGTCTGACTTTCATTGTGTAATATAGCCCACAACCTAAATAAATATGTTGATTTGGGTGAGAGGTGCCTTCATGTCAGTGAAGTCTGCCTGGACTGATTTTCTTGGCAAGCTTTCAGAAGCGTTTTGCTATTGCTTTTTACTTCCAAGGGTTGATGGAGAGGTAATGGTCCAAGATCTCCCAGCTGGCTTCATATCTAAGACAAGACTAGAACTCACGTTCTTGTTTCTAACCTGGTTCCATAACCACTAGACCAAACTGCCTCTCACATATCACTGAGGTTGCCAAATATGTTGAGCACCCCTACAAATACATCCCTTCCAATGATGCTTTTTTTTCATGGCTGCAGAAAGGAGTTGTGTATGAAGGACCAGTAGATTTTAAACTCCCCCAACCAGTATTGGGTTGCTACTGGTTCTCCATGATCCAGGCGAGCCGGTAGCAACGATGACGAGGTACGAGCGAATTGGTTCGCTCCGACTGTCAGCTGGGCCCTCCCAGCCACCCCTGTGCTACACCTACCTATATTTGTTCGTTTTTAGCCCAGCTGATAGGCGCAGAAGAGCGGATTGCAGTGCCTCAGCTGTTCTGAAATGGAATGTGCTTGTGCGAAGCAAATCACGTGCAAAGTGTGTGCGCAAAGCGAACTGGTGGTAACACTGGTTGAAACCCACCACTGCCCCCAACCTAAATTCAAATTATTCTCCCAAATGAGATTGATTTATCCCTACATTTTCAATTAGTGCTGGGTTTTTTTTTTTCTTGAATGCACCAGGCTTAAGACAACGGAGCCTCTGAGCATATGAAAAGAGCTTGATATATTTCTGTAAAATGTTTATATCCCACCTATACTTTACATAGCTCACAAAATCATAAAAACCCTATATACAACTTGGTTCACCACTTGTTTCAGTAAATAAATAAATTGTTTGAAACTGAATGGTGCCCATAGGAAATTTAGATTTTTCTAACTGGGCAAAGGGAAACCATAATTATACATTAGCAGATTCTGGGAGCTGTTGAATTCATCTGAAATTACAAATAACAATTCATAACAATGAATTTGAGTCAAGCATCTCTTCCCGGATTCTGGTCTCTAAACAGCCAAGACTTCAGAGAAAAAAACATGTAGGATCCAATCTGGGATCAATCAACAAGCCAAAGGTTTTGTCTTCTGAGCTTTCGTACATTATGATAAATAAGTACATACATTCAATTTTGCAGCTACTAAGTTTGTTGGACAAGCAGGCACAAAAACAGCCTTCAGAAGTTGTGGGAGACTTTCAAGAAAAGATTGGACTGCCATTTGTCAGAAATGGTATAGGGCCGTGATGGCGAACCTATGGCACGCAGACCACAGGTGGCACACGTAGCCATATCAGTGGGCATGTGAGTTCAGCTCCGGTGTGCATGCGCGTGCCGGCCAGCTGATTTTTGGGCCTTCTGGGCCCACCAGAAGTAGGGAAACAGGCTACTTCCCGCCTCAGGAGGGCCTCGGGGCAGGGGGAAGGCCTGTTTTTTGCTGTCCCCAGCCTCCAGAGCCTCTGTAGGAGTCTGGGGAGGGCGAAAACGGCCTCCCCCCTGCCCCCGGAGACCCTCCAGAGGCCGAAAATGGCCCGTTTG